TTGTATCCGCATAGTTTCTCTTGCGTATAGCCCTTTTGTTCACAGGAGGCCGTAACAAAACGATAGAAACGGACCCCGCAAACGATAACGGGTCCCAAGGTGGATAGATCTGCAAACGGAATGCTCTGGGGGGGCAAACGGATCCGTGTGTACGCCTCTATACGATCATTTTCTGATAACGATGAAATAGCCCCGTCTCCGTCTCCCCACGTCTCCTGCTCAGAGATCAGCTGCTGGGCTGTCAGAAGAGGGGGAGGAAAAGAGAGGCTCCGTTTATTATTCTTATATTATTATATAGAGTCGTTATCAATTTGTTTTAAAGCTCAATAAATAACAAAGAAGACCTCTGACCCGCACTTTTCAAATTTTATCCGGAAGATTTCAACTTTAACGGACATGTTGACCGGCGAACATTTTTTTAACGGAAACTCTGCCGCATGGTTCCCTCGTCCCTTGGAAGAGGCGGAGAGGTGGGTGTTTTTCATCTACTGGTGGACTACCGGAGAGATTTACAGCAGGAGCACACGCCGTCCACCGCGGAGAATAAACAGAAAGGCAACCATGGCAACCATGCTCCGGGGTCTTCTTCGCTGCTTTTGGTGTATTTTGTGGCGGCAGCAGCGCCACTTACAGGACCAGCATATGTACTACAGCGTTTACAGCGGTCTCGTGTGAACGGACACGTTAATTGAGCCGAATGCGTGTGAACGGAAGACTTTTTTGAAAACGCATACGGTGCGTAAACGCAAACGTTCCCGTGTAAATGGGGTCTAAAACCAGTGTTTAGAAAGCAGAATGCTATCCCACTTGACACAATCACATAAAATAATTGATTGAAAGAGCACTCTAAATACAGGCAGCTCTTATTGACTGATCTTTCCACTTTAATATCATCATCATCATCATCATCTTTATTTAAAGAGACTCTTGGTCCATTATTACAAAACATACAACACTCACACATATCCACCACTCCTTGTATAGGAGGGGTCCAAAGCTGCTAATGTACCTGACAAACACTCCTCTGTTTAACTCAGATCTGTAGCTTTTTGAAATGCAGAGGCTGCTTATGATTCCAGCTCAAAGCGGACATGCCTTTCCCAGCATGCCTCAACCTGTTGCTGCTCTATTGTTTCCTGTAAATCAACAAGCTGAAAGACCCTCAGATATATCTCTCAACATCTCTTACCCCCCATCACTCTCTTTCTGCTCATTATGAAGCCTCATGTTTTTCCATGGAGGCATAGAAGTATTTTATTGTCACATGGTTCGTACACTGTCCAATCACATATGACCACGCCCTCTCTACAACACTAGAGACAGGCCATATAAAGCAAGTTTTTTTTAATTCATAATAGAAGGAGTTAATGAACATACATTTATAGAAGTTTTACCGCAGCTGGAAACCACAGATAAATCATTGAAAGATGAAAATCAATTGCAATATTGCACAATAGAAAAAATATTCGCAAGCTAAATTCATTCATTATTACCGTTCTTCTATAATGACATACTGTATATTACCGATTGTGTGGACAACACAATCACAAATCAAAATGTTCTGCTACAAAACAGCTATAAAATAAGAATGTGTGTCCATATTGAAAATCAGAACAAATGCAAATGATCTGGAGCAGTCAAATGAACAAATTAGTGAAATAGTTTTGAAAAGGAAATTAATAGAACAAATAATGTAAAGAAATATACAACGGAGGTTTGAGCACTAATGTGTTCATGAGTTTTTGTTACGGGCTTTGGAGCATATGTAATATATTGTACATATATTTTGCTTCTTTCTTGTGTTTTCATAGACGAAATCTTAAGATTTAAGATATTTTTAAAAGGGTTGGTGCGTAGGCTTCAGTCTACATCTTTTTAATCAGTACAAACCTGTACCACTATTTTAAAGTAATGACTTGTAAATGTTTATTTATTATTTGTTATATGATATTTATAAAATAATCTAGGCATCTCCTGGTTTACCTTAAAAAATATATCATACAGTGATTTGAAGATTAGAAAGCCCTAACACAGTCTTTTTCCCAGTGTGAATCACTTGGCATTATGTGACTATCACAGAAGTATCGTTGGGCCATTACGAAAACAATTCTTCAACCCTGCCTCACTTCCTGGGGGCTTGGTTCATCCACATCGTTTTTCTGCCCATCTTTCAGTTTTGCTTTACCATATTTAACCCATTGTCTCCTTCTGCCCCCTGACTCTTGCTGGGTCTCTCTCACATATGCCTGATGAGGCCTGTTATTGAGAGTCAGTGATGCAGAGAGAGAGTTTACACAGAGAGGGAGACAGTTGGAGGGAACAGGACCAGAACGTTTGACAGAGTTGTAGTTCATTTGTTGCTTCTTAGTCCATTAAAGCAATTACTTTCTGGCATGTCAGGCTGTGTCAAGTTAAATCACGCAGAGATCTTGATCTTAATAATTTGCCATGCTTCTGTTCATGCTGTGGGGTTGTGTAAGGCAGTGGAAGAGGTAGCAGGTAGAGATGTCCTGGCACAAACACCACAATAGAGTTATTTGTCTTGCCTCTTGTTTCGGCTGTGTTGCATACAATTAGGTGATCATCACAAAGAGCATACATTTAGGAAACAGTTTTAATATTTTAGGAGGGAAATATTGATTTCACACTGTCCCTATGTAAGAGACATACATGTAAGTTGAATAGTACAGAACTTATAGATTTTTTGTCTGGCCCATAAAAATGTTGAGCGTTACAAAAAAAGTTATTGACTTAGGAAATGCCTAGACCTTTAGTCAACCTCCACAGGATATGGTTGACTAAATAAGATAAAAGCTAGGACAAGGACATTTGACACAGGGCTAAGACTAAATATAAAATAGCTGACAAAATGATCACTTGAGCCAAAACAATGATGTGTCATCCTAACACAGAAACATCTACAAGATCTTCATGACCTCCAGACAACCAGAGGTAATCCTCCAAACATAAAGCATACCAAGGGTGAAGGACTTTAAAATGCCTTTATTACCATCAAGCTTAACTTTTCTACAAATGTGGACAAAGGTTTAATTGTTCACTACAAAGGACCTTTAACACATATTTGGCATGTTCTTATTACTGATTTGACTGGATGCCAATATATGACATCTCCAATAAGCTTGTAGTGTTGCCCGGTTCATTTATCATTAAGACAGTTTAACACATTACATTACATGTCATTTGTTAGACGCTTTTATCCAAAGCGACTTACATACATTCAGTACTGTGGACAATCCCCACAGGAGCAATTTGGGGTGAAGTGTCTTGCCCAGGGACACAACGACATGCTGACTGCAGTGGGATTCGAACTTGCTACCCCCTGATTCGAAGTACTGAGCCACACCCTTATTAGCTCTTGTTGCATAGTGGCGCGTGCTGGTAAACAGGCTTGAATGAAAGCCAGGCAGCATATGAATAGCACAAAGTGAAAATGATGTGTTAAACTGTCATTTCATGTCTTCATAGCTTACAAGTGTTGCAGTGCTTTACTAGTAACTATTGTTATGTTTGCTTGCCAACTCATTCAAGTTGTCATAATACAGTGTCAAATGGATTGATGGACGACATGGGTAATGAGCAGCAAGTCTCGTGACAGTTTTCACAACGTTTTGTAAATTGAGGGTTGCCATGTAGACACAACTTATTTCTTAGGCTCCAATAAATGTTCCCCGTACTAGGATGTTGATGTGTACATTTTTTTCAAGTTAGTCAAATATATTGTGCTTCTTTTTCTTGGAAATAAAGCTCGGTTTCCACTAAGAAGCTAGTTAGCTGGCCATGCTAACAATTGGAGCATTCATTAGAGCAGATGAACACATGCCTTACAATTTGCTTTTAGTGGTTTTAGTTTGGAACTAAAAATGACACAATCATCTGTTACTACTCAAGCCATACTCTTTCATCATGTGGGAAAATGCGAAGCTATAATTGAACAGTATGGAATTAGCGATGTGCCACAATTAAAGGTGGGGTAGGCAAGTTTCAGAAACCGGCTCGAGTGCACTAAAATGTGAAAGTACACAGCCGAAAAGAATCCGCCCCTTCCTTCAGACTTCCTTACAGAGCACCTCCTCCAACACACATGAACGCGCACATGACGTCAGCAGACTGGTGAAAGTGGCCGCCTGTTGCTGGCGAGTCATTGAAGTACTGCTGCAATGCACGCCCAATGACGGCACAAAATACATTTGTGCGTGCACGAGATGGAAGGCTGACAGACAAGGCGGCCCGGCTAAACGGATTGGTTGTACTTTTTACAGAACTACGGCTTCCACAGATGACATTTTTTTATGGATTTTTTGTCAAAGCACTTCAGATATTCATTGCTATCGGATGTTAAGAGCATTCCATGGAATATAACAAAAAGTGTATCTCGAGCCGGTTTCTCAAACGTATCTACCCCACCTTTAACCAATAGGAAAATAATGCAAAAATGTTTTTAAAAACATGAATTGAAATGAAGTGAACAACGCACATCTTTGACACCAACTCTTGAACATTACATTACGTTACGTTTAGCTAACGCCTTTATCCAAAGCAACAAACATAAACCTTAAAACTGTAGATATTCCTACGGGAGTAATAGCCACTCTTATAATATATGTAATATAAGTCCAATCACATAACTTAATTCCCAATCAACTTCAACCTCCGAATCAGGCATTAAGTAAGTGAAAACATACAGTAGCACTGGGTCTTTTGAGCATACACTTGTTTTGCGTCCAATATTGGATATATGACCATATGAATCCAGCTACATTTTGTAAAACTTACTTTGGATTGGATTCATCATTTCTCTGATAACCTTGAATAAAGTAAGTTGGAAACAAATTAAGTTTAACGTAATATTACTAATTTCTAAATTAAATCACTTTTTAAGATCAGATGTTCTCACTGTGTGTTCACCATAATTGTGTCACATGTTAAGTGGTACGAGTCTAAAAACAAATAATAATTTCTCCTGTGTTTCTACCTTCCAGGCCTCAGTGTGTTTGGACAGGAGCTCCCATCAGGCCCTCACGGCTGCACTGAGGGAAGCTGTTACCCTGCGACAGGAAACCTTCTGATTGGACGAGCCGTCAACCTCTCCGCCACCTCCACCTGCGGCCTGAACGGGCCGGAGCAGTACTGCATCGTCAGCCATCTGCAGGTCAGGAAACACATGAACAGTCAATGAGAAATCTAAAAATATCTGATTCTGATTTTCCATTCATACCTTCCTAATGATAGGTTAATCATGCACATTCTTTATTTCCTTCACCCTGTATTTTGACTTGACTCTCCCTCCTGCCTGTTCCATACCTCTCACACACCTTTACAATACAGCACACCCTGTAGTCCATGCAGTAAAAATGGGATGGTTTGTTTGTTCTTTTCTTTATGCACTTCATCCTCCTGTCTCCACTCTTCCATCTGCATTTGTTCATCCGTTTCTTTGTTAGCCCAGTTTCCATGAGCAAAGCCCCTCGACTCTCAGGCCAGGTGTACACACACGTCAGCCACACCTTAGTCCTACACACACACACACACACACACACACACACACACACACACACACACACACACACACACACACACACACACACACACACACACACACACACACACACACACACACACACACACACACTCCATCCCTCTCTCCATGTATATCTATCTCTGTCACTGTTTTGACCTACGTTTTTTTACTCTCTTATACTTTGTCATGCTTACTTTCACTTTTTGAAGTATTGCATGTGTGGGAAAACAATCTAACTTCCTCAATTGCAAAAAAGCTGTACAGTAAATGTCTTACCAGATGTCCTGAGTTGAAGACTCACATGAAAGAACAAATTAACAAATATTTCTAAAGACATGAGTAAATGCCTCTACTTGACTTAGCCAAATCACTCAATACTAGTTTATGAAAACGCACTTAATATTCATTCCTTTTTGCCCATATTTAAAAATGTTGCTTTATCACTATCATGATGTCATTCTTCCTTCACACCATCGTTGTCAGGCTAAAATGCACCATAACGACGCAACTGGTTTGGACAGTCTTAATCTCTTGACTTCTGCATGGAGGTATTTAATGGTTCATGTTCAAATGTTTAAACTTGAGTTTATATATTTTTAAACTGCCTGGTTTAGTTTTAATATTAAATGTTTGTATTATTTCATTCATTTAAGTTGGTAGGTAACTGATTATGTTCTCTGTTCTAAACTAAATGTACACATACAGTAGATGTATGAGCAGTCTGAAAGCAGCAAACACATTTTCTCCCAGAGAATTAAGCACTATCTTTGGACAACTTCCACATTAGCCCCTGCCCACTGCCTAAATAAATCCAAATACTGATATTTTGGTTAAATAAATAAATACAGCTTTGCATCACAGCCCTAGTTCATACCTGTGGGATGCAAGACAACATGCTGTTACAGTCTCTCGTCACCCCCCCCCCCCCCCCCCCCCAGTATGCAGCGCTTGCATTTCTTTCTGCCCCTATCATGTTGACACCCACCGCCCTCTCTCCTCCTCATGCATTTCCGTTCAAATGCATGTATGTGCCTGTACCTCCATTGACTCAGGCAGGAACATCCAACAGTGTCAACTTCCAGGTGAACATGATTGACATGCTCTGATTGGAGTGAGGCCCTCTGCTATAGGACGGGGCAGAATGTGGTGACAGCCTGTCATTGCTGCTCCGTCAGACGCTACTTTAGAGACCCACACCAAACATTTAAATGTCCAAAAGTTCATCAATCATTCGTGTTAATTCTAGCTTGTTTTTTGTTTTGTTCTTGGTGAGATCAGATTGCAGAGTCTTTATGCACATTTGTAACCTAGGAGAAGTATTGTGTTAAGAGCTGCTGCCAAGACAATTGTGTTGACTTTAAGAGAAAGGACGAAGAAAAGGTGAAGGAGAAGATGGGAAAACAGGGGAATGGTGGATGGTGAAAAAGAAATAGAGGATGCAGAGAAAGTCAGAGACATGGAGGCAAAACAAAATGGCACAAAAATCAGTAACATAAAGTATTAACAGCAGGGTAATGGATGTAACTGAAGTGGAAAAGGAACAGCATTAGGGAGGTGGGGTGCACTTTTCTGTTAAAGCCACCATCGTAGTGTGACAACGAAGTGTTTTCAAATCAACATCAGACTTACATCAGTGTATTGTTGCAGCAGAAAGCCTTATAGTTAAGCTGACCAGGCTTGACTAATGGGAGATAAATAAGAGCTCAGAGGAGGGAGGGAGGGAGGGAGGCTCTTAAAGCCACACCAGTTCACACCGAGCACCAACTGAAACTACAGCGTCCTGGAAGGAGAGGATAGGAATCAGACTTATATCCAGCTCAAAACTTCCTTCATGAGATAACAGTGCTGCACCGCAATATGCAATTTGCAATATGCAATATGCAATATGCAATATGCAATTTGCAATATGCAATATGCACTAACAATATAACGATGTTGTGATGAATGAACACACATTCACTTTAAACTGAAAAAATAATTATTGGTGTGTAAAAAAAATATAGGATCATTATTTTCAACTCTGTTTGACTGAATAAATTGAATATTAACCTTAGAACAAAATTCACTAAGTAAGAATAATAGTTGAATTTTAAAGTGCATTTTATTCAGGTACTTTTCCTTCTCAACTAGCTACGTTTTTATCATATTTATTCATATTCTCGCAGTGTCTTTATCGCACAAGTTGACATCATAAATAAGAATTATGATATGGCTCAGCCCTGCTGCTGTGGACCAGGTTGGAATCCCACCTGCGCACCCTTTACTTGTGTAATGTCTTCCTCTTTCAAATACATCTCTGAAAATAATCTTAGAGGGGCCCAACTATGCTCATTGTCCTTTAATGTTCAAAAAGATCTTTATTTTTCTCATACTGCAGCACCTCTTTTCACCCTCTGTCTGAAACCAGAGCCCAGTCTGCTCTGATTGGTTAGCTGGCCGGCTCTGTGGTGATTGGTCAACCATTTAGGGATGTCCCGCCCATATGCCTATCATGTACAATGAGTTGGAGCGCTGGCCAATATAAGAGGCGAGTGTTACATAGTGATGTCACTATGTGTGGGAGAGAAACTCCATCTGGAGGGATCTTGGGGATTGTAGCCTTTGCAGACCATTTACATTCACAAAACCTATAACATACTACAGGGAAGGGAAAACACAGAAAAACCAAGTGCCCTTTCAAAACAAAAAAGACACATTTACGTGGTGTAGTCATACTATTAAAATGAATTAAGTGAGATGACTTTTTATAGAAAATATATTAGAAATGTTGCTCTTCGACCTAAATTCCTATAAGCACTATGAAGCTGTAACAGAGTGACTCTCTGATGATGGCTAATTGCGTTAGGATGGATGTGCTACTGTGTAGAAAGGAATCCTTTTCAGAGATGAGGGCAGATTTATGCTGGGATTAGGGAGGCTGGGTGAAGAAGGCAAGCGTGCATGTAAAAAAACACACACATTCACTTACATGTACAAGTGGGCATGTGTCACGCACATCCACACAACTTTTTTTTCAAATCTCAGTCAAGTCTCTTTATTGGCATTGTTGTTGTTAGCAGCTTAATCACCCTGACAACAACCTAATTAAGACATGCTGCCCTGGAATCCACTGGTTCTCTGCGCCAATTTACCCTCATCTGCCTCTTTCCCTCTCCCTGCTCCCCTCTTTGTGGCACGCTCTCAAATGCACCCCCCTTTTGCCCTCTCTCAGCATCTCCCTCGCTCTCTGCCGGCCCCCTTCTTTGTCCCTCAACCCTGCCATGCCGTTTGAGAGCCCTCTCCACCGCATACCCACTTATCTCACCTGAGCCTTCCTTTCTCTAACTTCTCTATGATTCAAGCCCTTACTCTTGGCTGCAGTCCCCACATTCTTCTATCTTTCCCATGCCCTCTGCTTTCCACTTCTTCCTCCACTTCTTCCTCTGCCACATCAATGTCTGCTTTTTACCAGCAAGCTGTGTGTTTTCCCTCAGTTGTCCCTAATTTCACCACTCCATTTAAGGAATGGCAATAGAGCATGCTATCCAGGAAGTTCACGTCGCATGGGGTCAAAAAGCAATAGCATGTCCATTTGATTTCTGAAAAATATTGCAGAAAATAAGATCTTCAGCAAACCTATGCTTCTGATGCTTACACGTTTTGTTCGGATGAAAATCTTCACAAAATAACACCACTTGATTTTTGAAGTGTAAATGCAATCTCCAGTTGAAAATGCAACCAAACTGCATCGTGGTCAAATGGCTGCTCATCACCACCGCTAATCTAAAGGCTCAAACTATGTTTGACGTGAAGACGTTTTGTAGTCTCATTAAATCCCTTGTTATTTACTACCGTATTTGATGTCATAGAACAAAAGATGAAAGTCTCTTGAGCTTGTCTTACTGAAAAACCTTATTTTTGCCTCTAACCAAAAATGTATTTCAAATCATTGACTTTGAAATGAGGAGTAAAATGCAATCTCATTTCCATGTTAAATGCCTCAGTCCTGCACCACGAGTAATGGCAAAATTAAGCCGCTAACCGGATATGATACTAGTTATTGTTTTTGAACTTACAAAAGTCTTCCAGCTTGTATAATAGTTGTCTTTACCCAACAAGTCATTATATCCACTCGTGATGATTATTTTAAAAGGCCCTAATACAATATAGTTGCAACATTGTGAAGGTATTTGGTCAAAAATGTTCTGATATTTGATTATTCTCTATATTGCCCAGCCCTGCTTCCACTTCCTTTTTTCTTTTGACCCAGTGGAAACACAAGCCAGTCCCCTCTGGCTTTTTTTCCTGGTTCACACTGGTATTGGCACACAGGGGCACTTTTAGATTTGCATCATTTCAGCTTGACAGATGAAATCTGAGGAAGCAGCTCTATCACAGAGGCTTGAGTGACACGGTACAACATGGCTACCAGCAACAAGACACAACCTGCAGACGCACTTAAATCCTTTAAATGGTCTCCCTTGTAGTACAACATCAACCGGCAGTTTATTTTACATTTTGATTTTTTTGCTGAAAAAAATCACCATGCTTGCTAGTTACATCTGTTAAACATTTTAATTATTTATTTATTATCATATGTAAAACATCTAAGGGAAACCTTCCATGCCAGTGAATTTCTACAGGAGTAAATGTATGTTTTGTACCTCGACAGGAATCAGACAAGTGCTTCGAATGTAACTCCCAGCATCCCTACGACCGCCACAGAAACAGCCACCGCATCGAAAACGTCATCTACCTCATGGACAGGGATGAAAGCAACACCTGGTGGCAGTCTGTAAACGGTGTGTGCATGTGCATTTACAAAAAATGCTATATCAAAAGTGGACGTAGCCACCTTTACGTCACCCATTGGTTTGTGTACTATGGTTTTAATGTCCCAAAGGAAGCAAGAGGGGTTTTAGGGCACCTTCTTATGTAAGCTAAAGCACATGTTGTTTGCATAGCAAGCCACATCTTCAAAGATCTTAGCTGAATAACTTAGAAAGGAATGATATAAGAAACTATGTTAGCCGCTCATAATGCAAAGTTTACCTTCAATTAGGACATTTCTTACATTGGTGCATTGTTCACATTAATGCACACATACCAATTAATGGGACAGGCTGTTAGCTTATTTACAAAGGATGTTTTTCTAACTGCTTACAGTAAGGGGTCATATCTAGATGTGTTTTTGTTCTACTTGATGTGTAAGCCCAGGTCTAAATGTAAACATATCTAAACCCTTTAAACTGAGATGTTCTGTGTTACTTTATGCCTTGTTGGCTTTTCTAACTGTAATGTTCTGACTCTAAATGTGTATTGTGATCATAAACTCATCGGGAAAATCTTTTCTGAGGTAATAGATCGAGTTGAGAATAGGGTTATTTTCTCATAGACTGTTTATTGAGAGTCTCTAAATGTGAGGAATAAATGTGTTCTTCTTGTTGTGGATTATATCCCTATGGTAAAAAATGTAACCAAGTAATTACCCAAGTCTATATCAAAACACTTGTGAATGCTGTTGGCATGCATTGACAAGAGATATAGAATACATCTATAACCTCGTAGGGGTCATTTTGAAAGGGACTATCTTTTGGAGATGAGACTTCTGCATCACTTGTGTTGTTATGACAATGAGTGACAGTTGTTTCCTCCACAGGAGAGGAGAATGTGAGCATCAGGATGAACCTGGAGGCTGAATTCCACTTCACACATCTCATCATGAAGTTTAAGGTACAAACGCTCAGGTGTGTGTGTGTGTGTGTGTGTGTGTGTGTGTGTGTGTGTGTGTGTGTGTGTGTGTGTGTGTGTGTGTGTGTGTGTGTGTGTGTGTGTGTGTGTGTGTGTGTGTGTGTGTGTGTGTGTGTGTGTGTGTGTGTGTGTGTGTGGACCTCTGTTTAGGTGCTTAAGGACTTATTTCCCTCTTCTGCCCCATCAGACCTTCCGACCTGCAGCTATGATCATCGAGCGTTCGGCAGATTTTGGCCGCACGTGGCGCCCCTACCGCTACTTTGCCTCAAACTGTACCAAGACGTTTCCCGGCACCCCCGCTAACGGCCTGCGCCACATCAACGACATCATCTGTGAGGAGCGCTACTCTGACATCGAACCTTCCACCAATGGAGAGGTAAGAACTAGAAGAAGTGTTAGTAAAAAATAAAGCCGGTGATGTTCAACAATTATCTTGCTGTGATAGTTCCGATTTTTTAAAGAATTTGATGACGTTCTTAACAAGAGAAAGATATTAACCTACAGTGGATGGTGGATGGCACTCCCTCAGTCATGAGGAACAGAGAGAAGTACCAGGAAAAACATTGGGCCTCCTACAAACATCCATATCATTTTAAGTGTACACTATTTTAGGGACATTTGTCACCGTTGCAAACTGGACGATGATCCATTTATTCAATTAAGCTTAAAATAACTAATGTCTGCCTCGGTCAGAATTTTGAGAAATGCGTTAGCAAACAGTATGCCTGCTTTGGTTTCATTCGTTTTTTTTCCTATAGTTTCTATAGATTATCTGGATTTAGTTATTGCGTAATAATTATTGTGTTCCCACGAATTACTAATGCGTGGGAACGTAATAACTAATTTGTGGCCACGCATTATTAATACGTGGTCACGTATTAATATTTTTCTAACCAATGTCACCAGGGGGGCTCCGTAGCTTTCCATGTTCTTCTCTCATCCCATAATCTTATAGAATTTCTCTGAAAAATGTTTTTCTTTATTTAAGGTGATTTACAAAGTTTTGGATCCAGCCATTCATGTGAAAGACCCCTACAGCTTGGACATTCAAGGTCAGTGGAGACTCTAGCTCTAAATATGGATGGCTGATACTGTTACTAGCAGTGCAGCATAGTGTTCTATCAGAAGTTAACACTAATGCAGGATGACTACCGCTCCTCCTGGGTTAATCTTTGCAGAGATGCTGGAAATCTCAATGAGTCCAAACTGATACAAAAATAAATATCCTCACCCTTTGCTCTATGCAGTGTTACACGCTCTGATGAAGGTCTGTTGGACCGAAAGCCCAAATAAAATGTAACACTTCCTAGATCTCAGTCAGAACAAGACTCAATTTTATATTACAAATAAATAAATACAATAAAATAAAAACATGTATGCAAACATATAGAATTAAAAGTAAATATCTACAAATAAATATATACAATATATACAGTAGTTAATTAATTTGAATAATGTTCTGAATGCTGAAAAACAGATTATTGATCCTAATGAACAGTGTAATAATAATCATTCCAAAGTGGTGTGAGAACAATTGATTGAAGTCAGACTCAACTGTGAAGTATTGCACAGTTGAATTATTGCACAGGTTACACAGCCTAATTAGAGTACATATATATATATATATATACAGTGTATTAGGGTTTAACTACTGATGGGTACAGTAAGTCCTATCTGTGTGTGGGCATCTCTTTCATGAGGGGCCCTCATTCTATTTTATCAGGATCAGTTGAAACAAAATGCAACTTTACAGAATTATTACCCTGCAAAGCAACTTTTAAAGAAAATAGCCGTTATAACTTTTTGGAATATTGAGGCTAATATTTAGAAACATGTTTGCATACTAATGAATGATCAGTTTGGTCATGAAATTGAAATGAAATCAAATGAAACATAAATAATCCTTTTTCTTTCTTCTCACAGAACTCCTGCGTATCACCAACCTGCGTATCAACTTCACCAAGCTGAACACTCTGGGAGACGACCTGCTGGACCGGCGCTTCGACGTCCTGCAGAAATATTACTACGCCCTCTACGAGCTGACGGTCAGAGGGAGCTGCTTCTGCTACGGACACGCCTCAGAGTGCGCCCCGGTGCCAGGGGTCGACGCCCGGGACAATGGCATGGTGAGCTAATGGGCTAAAAATTCATGTCATTCAATCATGGGTGGTGTGGGAATAAACAGACACTTGTATTATCATTATGTATTATTATTGTATCACTATACTTCATTATGCCATTGTAATATTATCAATCAATCAATCAATGTTTATTTATATAGCCCAATATCACAAATGTTACATTTGTCTCAGTGGACTTCACAGTTTGTACAGAATATCAGTATGACAATACAATACATCGTACAAATGTTTGGAAATGCATGTGTCTATAATAAGAAGATGAATCCACGAGGATGTCAACAATCCTGTGGGAGCCATCAGGGAAGTAGTATGATGAAAGTCAGGCAGGACCACAGTGACAGGATCATCCATGACTCCGGATCCCGGCATATATAGACACCAAAAAGAAAGACATTTGGGGAAGCTGGGTTAATCGGAACATGAGAGTACACAGGTATAGACAGAGAGAAGGAAGAAGTAAGATGTCCCCCGACCAACTAAGCCTATATCAGCAAAACTAGGGGCTGAATCTAATCAGCCCTAACTATAAGCTTTATCAAAAAGGAAGGTCTTAAGCGTACTCTTAAAAACGGATAGGGTGTCTGCCGCCCGAACACAAACTGGAAGCTGATTCCACAAATGTAGAGCTTGATAAGAAAAGGCTCTGGCTCCCATTGTACTTTGAGAGACTCTAGGAACAACCAACAACCCTGCATTCTTGGAACGCAATGCCCTAGTAGGACAGTAGTGTATAATGAGTTCTTTAAGGTAAGATGGCGCCTGCCCATTAAGGGCTTTGTAGGCGAGAAGAAGAATTTTAAATTCTATCCTGTGTTCTATAGGGAGCCAGTGTAAGGCAGCCAGAACAGGAGTAATGTGGTCCCTTTTCCTAACTCTTCGGCATTATTCACAATGCCATTCATTAACCTTTCTGCTTATAATTTTACCCCATTGTGGCTAGATCCACGGGCGCTGCGTATGCAAACACAATACAGAGGGCCTGAACTGCGAGCGCTGCCGACATTTCCACCACGACCTGCCATGGAGACCCGCCGAGGCGGAGAACCCACACACCTGCAAGGGTGGGAACACACACACACACACACACATGTTATTTAGCTGTTAACGGTTTAAAACCTGAAAACCTTTTTGAAGGCTTGGTAATGTTTAAAGAAACACACTCAAGGCACTTTGTTATGCACTGGTCCATTTTGGGAGATTAGGGTGTTTTTTTAATAACATGTCTACTGTCATCCCTGGAAAATGAAAAACGAAAAAGCAGTTGTCTAAAAATAAATTGGTTGTCTTAAATAAATGCCTCAACATTTGTTAAGATTGGAATTTCAGTATACAGTAGTTATCAAGATATTTTTGCCTCATTTAAAAATCTCATTGGTTAATGTATATATCAGCTACTTTTCAAGTGTTAAAACAGTGAAAAAGGAGCTGTTAGAACTACCAGTTTGGAAATTGGGGTTACATATTGTTGCAAAGGTCATGTTTCACTTAATCTAATTTATTCTTATTTCTATAATTTCTTCCTCAGAGTGCAACTGTAACGGCCACACAAGCCAGTGCCACTTCGACATGGCGGTGTATCTGGCCACAGGCAACTCCAGCGGAGGAGTGTGTGACGACTGCTTGCACAACACCATGGGACGCAACTGTGAGATGTGCAAACCCTTCTACTTCCAAGATCCTGTTAAAGACGTCAGGGACCCACGAGTGTGTGTCGGTGAGTCTTCTGAACAACTTGTTTCCTGCCATCATGTCGAAATGTTCACTGTTCTACAATAAAAAACATCTAAATGAAGTCCATTATTGAGAAGAAAAGCTTTGTTTTCCATGAAACATTCAGAGAAAGTCTGTCAGCCAGCGGGTTGTTATCATTTCATTTGTTTCCTGGGCCAGAGCACTTGGCTCATTTATCTTCCAATTTTTGGTCATTACCTAAACAGTCATGCAATGATCTTGCCTAAAATCTGAGCCTTACCTAAAATCTCACCTCTCAGTTCCAAGTTCCCCTCAACCCAAAGGTACATTTGGTTTTCACTAACATACAATATCTGAGCTTCACTTGACTTGATTTCTGTACAGATTTGTACCTAGGATATTTTTACAGTGCATTCATCTGCTGAAAGGGAAGACTTTCTACTGTGTTTACTAATTGCAAATACCATTTTATTGGGTGGGCCTTCAAGCATGCTTTTTGACATCACAAATAGTTTGAAAACTAATCTTGGTCCAATATACAACCTGCAAATGTGACTTATTCAACTAAAACAAAAGCATTTATTAAATGACTAACATTTGTTCTATTGATTGGTCATTTTTTATACTTTCTCAATGCCGAATTACTTATTCTGGTAAAACAAGTGGGACAACTCAGTTATACACATCTTTAAAATAGATCAACTATCGATTTTTCTTGAAGACAGCCCTAGAATATAACCACAGTCCACAGTCCACAAACATTAACCGCACATACACCCTGAAGTGTCACAAGTGTTCTTATCTAGCTAGTTTACAATTTCTGTAGTTTTATCTCTGACTCTCATTATTTTCCACTGTTCCCTTCTAACGCTCTCTATCTGACCTTTGACCCTCAGCCTGTGACTGTGACCCGGTGGGATCATTGGAGGGAGGAGTGTGTGACAGTCACACCGACCTGGACATGGGGATGATCTCAGGACAGTGTCGCTGTAAAGTCCACGTCAAAGGCACACGCTGCGACGACTGCAAGGAAGGTTACTACGGACTGAGCCAGAACGACCCTCTGGGCTGCCAGCGTGAGTGTGTTTGTCTGCCACTGAGACCGCTTCCTGTTTAAATAGGGATGACAATTGAATTATAGTGTTTTGGTAAACACCACCACATTAGATATGTAAATATCACATCCTCCATAATCTCCTTCTTTGTGTTTATGTTTCCATCAGCTTGTAACTGTGACCCTCGTGGCATCATCACAAATGGAGCTCCTTGCGACCAGATCAGTGGGGACTGCTCCTGTAAAAGATATGTGACCGGTCGCTACTGCAGCCAGTGTCTGGTGAGTGAAAACTGTTCTTCTTAGAAAATCTGTCGCTCATTTTGGGTTTCAGATCAAAAGATTTCTTCATATTTAAAGAAGAAAATCAGAGATAAGGCACAGTTCTGTACGCTGTAGCATTGTGTGATATGCTATGTTTTTCCCATAGATTGTGTAATAGAAAAAAAAGCTCTTCCAATGGGGAAGTGTCTTAAACCTGCATTCTTTCTAATGGCCAATGGGGTGAAACTCCACTGGTTGCAAAAAAATTAGAATGTGATCATATTTCCCTATTGCATTTTTACTTCAGTAAACACTTCCCTTAATGGTAAAAATGTTTGAAAAATAAAACATAAAAAAGCATATGATTAAGGGCGTGGCTTCCTTGTGATGACAATTCACTACCATGGTGACTTGTTAATTGAGATAGAGGCTTAGCAATGGGTATCACTCTACAGCTCCAGATATGGCACAAAAAAAATGCGATAGCTCAAATGCCAAACTTCGAAACGTCAGTCCACAAACTTGTTGCACAATTACAAGCCAAACTGTTTTAGCTTGTCACACAATCAAAGAAAGAAAATCATATGATAGATGTCACTGTGAATCCTGGTGTTGACATGTATTTCCTTCCCTACAGCCTGAATACTGGGGGCTCAGTAATGATCTGGCCGGCTGCAGACAATGTGACTGTGATTTTGGTGGAGCTTTCAACAACAGGTATTCATTATTATAATGTGTTACCTGCATCTCTAAACATGCGTTGGAGAAAGAGAGGTCTTGAACTTTCCAAGTCTTAAGCATTTACACTGTTTGTTCCTTTAGGTGCATGATGGAGAACGGCCAGTGTGACTGCAGGAGGCATCTGATTGGTCGACAGTGTTCGGAGGTTCAGCCTGGGTATTTCTGCGCTCCGCTGGACTACTATAAATATGAGGCTGAAGACGCGACTGGACACTCCCCTGGTGACACTGCACTACCTGTGAGCACAGTACTATGATTCGAACTAATAATAGATCCAGCAAAAGAAGGTCTCTGCCTCTATGAGCCGCAGTGCTGGTGAGGGGTTGTTGCCACATGGCACCTGGTAGGAGCCGAAATATAAACGGGCAAGATCAGTTAATCAGAATCAGATGCAAGTTCATTAAAAAAATCGAACAATTGAAATCAATATATATGTCATGCTGAGAGTTCAATGACAGTCCGATAGATTGCAGTAGATAGAAAAACTGAGAAGCGTTGCCTTTATAACATCTGTGCAATGTTTTCATTTTGAATCTATCCATCACAAGACTATAACCTTTGTCCAGAAGAAAGAAGTTGAGATTCTGTGTGCAAAGGCCGAGAGACATCATCAAAAATCCTGTATTTGCTGTAATTGTCTGGTGTACAGGGACCCTGGGTTAAACTCACCAGTCAGCCTTCTACCAGAACCATTTCACCATTTTAGTATCGAGACTTTCTGATATTTAAAGACATGCAATGAGACCTTTGACAAAGATCCAAATATATTCCAAAAAGCAAAAGTATCAGGTCATCCTAGTGTTGTCAATGTAGAAATAGGACCTTTTCATTTAACAAAACAATTGCTTGTGCCTCTTTTGTACACAGCTTCAAAAATAGCTTGAAAGTTATACTTCCACTCTATAATTGTGGACAAATATTCAGTATACTGAGCATCAGGCAAAAGACAAATACAAACGTTTTACAATATTTCTCTATAGGTTTTTTTTTTTTTGAGCTTCTCAGTGGCAAAAACATGCATCTTTGGTGGCACTATTGCCAGATACAACAACATTCATTTTGACAACAAAGGTGCTTTTGCTCAATTCTGGACAAGTTTGAAAAAACATGGAGAAAACTGGGTCCAGTTTGAAACAGAAATAGCCCTTTTTCTCATTAAGCTCCCCCCTCTGTGACAGGCCTGTTCCTGCTGTCACTGTCTACCCTCTCTCACATTCTTCACTGTCTCTCCTCCACCCACCTCCGTCCTCTCCACTTTAGGCAGACCCCCTGCCCCCTCCACTTCCCCATTCATCCCTCTGGGCAAGCTCAGACAGTCCTCACTTACAACATCACTGCTGCAGGAATTTGTGGAAAAATGCCATTATTGTCTTCAGAATGTTATGAGACAAAGAGCAACAGGAGATATGTCTTTGACATTGTGGGCTGTTGTCTTTAGGGGGGGGGGGCATGGCTTGTTCAAACTGACGCTGGATGGAAATAGAGTGCACATGCTGACAGAACATGCAGAATACAGTCAAAGTCCTGCGTTTCTGTACAGCATTTCAACTCCACAGCTGAAGTGACCCATACAAACGACAGACTGTGGCACAGATACCAACCTGTCACAACTAATTATTATACAACACAGACTCACTGTCTATGTTTCTCTCTGTCACGCTCCGGGAATTTCAGCACGGCGGGACACTTAGTGCTCTGACTTGTAATTTTCACTTTTGGAACAGGAAAAACTTGGATAGGATGAGCCCCTGTATGTTGTGAGAAGGGTTGCTGTAAAGAAAGTGATATCTATGATCGACACAAACCCTCATGAACCCTCCTCTCCTCTCCTCTCCTCTCATCTCCTCAGGGTAAAGTGCGTCCTCAGGCAGAGACAGACTGTGTTCAGCACCTCAGTAACCAGCTGAGGAGGCACCGTCGCCACCGTCGCATCACCAACTCGCAGCAGCACCGCTCGGCACTGAGACGAATCCGCCAGCTTCAGCAAACGGTATGATACATTCTTTGAATTACTGATTTCCTTTTTAGTTTGTCAAAAGATGAAATAACTAGTGGTTTTAAAAGTACATCACAACAATTTTAAAGCCAACAGTTGTATAGGTTTGTTGTCATTTGCTACATGCACCACTTGACTATTTAAGGGTAACTAGCCTAATTAAAGGCTTTGTTATCAAGTTCACTTTGTCATTTCAAACTAGTCAAGCTGAAAAAGAGATGTGAATATGTAGGTGTGTGTCCTGAAACTTCAATCAATAAGCAATGGGTAGTCATTGCCCAATTCTTCAGGTAGCTTGAGATCATACAAATTATTATTCAGCTGATCGGATATGTACGCTATTCTCTATGTAGAGTTTATCTCCAGCCTTAAATGAACACATGAGAATCCATCCACTTATCTTACTTATCTTACCATATGTACAGTATAAAGTAGAAGTTGTAGTAATAGTTGTAAAAGGTTAAATCATTCAGTGTGTAATGTCTCTGTCTCAGCCGGATGTGAGGAGCGTCCACAGAGAGCACAGCCACATGGTGACGTGGACCGGTCCTGGTTTCGCCCGCGTCAAAGACGGTGCGGGCCTGGTGTTCAATATCGACAACATCCCCTACGCCATGGAGTACGACATCATGATCCGCTACGAGCCTGAGGTGTGTGGAGCGGACCACGAGCCACAAGATTGATGTAAAACACTTTTTTTTTTCTTATTAATGAAGTTTTGTGTGTGTGTGTGTGTGTGTGTGTGTGTGTGTGGTGTGTGTGTGTGTGTGTGTGTGTGTGTGTGTGTGTGTGTGTGTGTGTGTGTGTGTGTGTGTGTGTGTGTGTGTGTGTGTGTGTGTGTGTGTGTGTGTATGTGTGTGTGTGTAGTCCACAGAGGACTGGGAGGCTATAGTTAGTGTTACCTCTGTGCTGCTGCCATCCAGTCTCCGGTGTGGTGCTGTGTCTGTGTGTGGTGCCAACACTTTTATATCTGTAAGTGTGTGTGTGTGTGTTTTTGTTTATCATCCCCAACTTAATCAAAAGCAGTGAAAAATATAGAAAAACAATAGAAAATGTATTGCCTGTTCAAAAGACAGAAAATACTAATAACATAGGACATTTAAGTCCAGAAGTTGTTACCGAAAAAAGAGGAAGCAGAACAGCATACATTTTGTTTAACTCTCATGACATTGAAACACAGAAATGGACAGACTTGACATTACAGGAGATAGAGCTATGTCGTTATTTTGTCACATTAAATCCCGTTGTTGTTTTTCACACGCAGTCTACTCTTTTTGAGTTAAGTGACAAGAAGTAGATACATACTGTTGCAGGTCAAATCTGTGTATGTTTTCTTCAGAGTTTGGTATAAGAGTAGGAAGAAATGAAAAGATTTTAACATTATAGCTATACCTGTGTTCCCATGAATATATTGCTTCGGATGTATATGCTTCAACTTTGACTTACTATCAATTATCTGTATCAATATTGAATTAGTTGAATCAAATAAACAAAGATAACATACTGTGACATTATCCATGGCACAAAAAATCTCTCCTTTTTGAAAAACTGAAACTAGCAAATGCGAAAACTGGATAAAGATTAAAAAAAAATGTTTAAACTCAAATCTATTATAAACTTTTGTTATGTGTAAGGTGCAATTATAGCCAGTGTGTTGATTGAAGTCACACAGTGTCGATAGCTGATATTGTATTGCTCAGGAAGACTTGCATTGTTAAATTGTTGTCCCTTGAACCTGCCCTGGCCTGTATGCTCTCCATGAGTTTAGGCATGTATTTGTATTGTTGTTTCACTGTAGCCTGAGGTACGGTTTCTATTGATTCCCTGATAAGAGCGCACACATACCTGAAAGCTGTGTAAGAATCTGCTCCAGTGATATGAAAGGAAGCCAGCAGCTTTATTTACAGAAGTGTAGAGTAGGAAAAAAAGAAAACTTGTTGGAGAGAAGCAGAAAACATTCCAGTCTGGATCAACCACATACATCCAATACATACATTTAATTTCCGCATATCTTTAAAACAAGGGTATGTTATGTATTTTCGATGTTTTTGTTTTATTTGTTGAAAAAGTCTTTAGCAGGGTTTGAAAAATGGATGTCCATTTTGCAATTGGAAAGACTTATCCCGTGTTAATAAGAACCCTTAATGAGTTTGTGAGGGACTGGTCACTATTGGCACTATACATGAAAGAAGAATGGTTAGTTGTTATATTTCTGGAGGTAGGAAGTGTAACAGAACAAGTACACACAGTACGCACAATCTTTTGACTAAATTGACTAAAAACTTTTTTTTGTGACGTCTTCTATTTTGGTTCTTTGAATTTTGCACAAGTTGAAGAAGACTATTTACTTAAGTAAGAAGTAGCAAATCTACCGTGTCAAAATACTCAGTTACAAATAAAAGTCCTGCGTTCAAAATTGTAAAATTAAAAAAGTATAATCAAAAAATATTTTTTATTTATTTATTAGTACCAAAAGTAAATGTACTAATTATGAAGAATGGCCCATTTAAGCACCATATATTTTTAATAATTGTATCTTAATTTTTGATTCATCAATGTCAGTTGAATTACTTTATATACTAATGGGAAGCTTAAAGGTAGGGTAGGTAAGAATGGAGAAACCAGCTAGAGTGCGCTAGAATTTGAAAGTATGCAGCCGAAAGAAATCTGCCCTTTCCTTCAGACTTCCTCACAGAGCCCCTCCTCCAACACACACGAACGCGCACATGACCAATGAGGGCACGAGATAAGTTTGTGCACAGATGGAAGGCTGACAGGCAGGTAGGCCGTCCAGTTACTTTAGCCGGGCCGGCTAAAATGATTGGTCGTGCTTTTTACAGCGCCACGGCCACGGATGACATTTTGTTATGTATTTATTGTCAAAGCATTTAATATATTCATTGCTATCGGGATGTTAAGAGCATTCCATGGAATATAACAAAAAGTGTTTCTGAAATAAATTACATACCCCACCTTTAACCTATGATAATATATGAAAATGTATTATAACTAGTATCTCAATCTGTAAAATAAATGTTGTTAATATAAAAGTACAACATTTGCTCACAAAATAAAGTGGAGTTAAAGTATAAACTAGCATGATGTGAAAAAGCTCATGTAAAGTACTTGGAGTATATGTACTTTGTTAGTTTCCACTTTCCACCAATGGCTTTTTCATATGTTTTGTCAAAGGTCTAGGTTTTGGTATTGTATCATCTAATGTTGGTTAAAAAACGATTGTGGCCAGCAATCAATAAATCAAATGATCCAACGGAAACAAGCAAAAAAAACATGTATCTGTGTCGCAGGAGAGAAATAACACTACACTTGTTCACACGCTTGTTCAAAGTATCTACTTTGACACGAAGATCATTAAAAGCCTTAAATCATTACAGCGCCATATTAACCTCACGATGATCTGCCAGTATTAAAATCGTACTGCACATGAGACCGATAACTGCGGTTTAGTGTTGATTACTCTTGATATTCTTGGTTAGTAGGATATAAGATAAAAACGGTGAGGGCCTCTGTTATGTGCTGAAAAGCCTTTCAGAGTCTGAACTCATCTGGAACTGCAAGGTCAGGCCCGCCCGGATCTGGCTGTCTCAGCGGACCGTAGCTGGTCTTCCGTTATCTCCTGGTTGGTCCATCAGCCAAAACCAGCAGAGTGAGCCCAAAACACAGACAGAGGGGCCGGAGTCAAACGCAGGTAGAGGGGGATCCAGTTTCCTCTGAAGAACACTGGGCACTTCAGAAATAGACAACAAGTCCGAGATAGAAGTAGGAAATAACCTTCCACCAAAACCTATAGTCTCAAAAGATACCGTACTTTGTCTGTTTGGTTTAAATGTGATGTTTGACTTTGCAATATTACCTTTGTCTACCTATTTGCCATTACGAGTTCTTAGCATAAATATACCAAGTTGGTTCTAATGTTTAGCAATTTCATTGTTTATCAATTTTAATTTTTGTTATCAGAAAAACATATTTCAAATTATTCCTAAAAATACGTTTTGCCAACAGTTAGATGGACTTTCCCATAGACTTAAAATATATTGTAAAAAGTTCCACAAACCCAAGAAGAAATGGAAAAGTTCAACAAACACAAAAATGAATTGAGAATTTCCACAAACACAAGAAGAATCAACAAAAAGTCAAATAAACCCAAGGACAAATGGAAAAGTTGAACAAATAAAAAAAGAAATGGAAAAGCTCATAAATTTTTTTTAAATAAATAAATAAACAAACCCAAGAAACAATGCAACAAAAGGAGTGAAAAAAAATCCATCTAATTAAGTTTACATTGAAAAGTTGAAAAAACCCAAGAGAAGATGGGAAGTTGAATAAACAGCAAAAGAGACATTTTAAACGTTAAAAAACACAATTAAAATGTTCCACACATCAATAAGAAAGAACGACATTTTTCTAACTCTCAAACTAAAAAAATGTCTCCCGCTTTTTCTTCAGACCCTCATACAAGTGTCACTTCAGAAGCCCCTTGAATATATTTTACTTCGACACATGTATATATTTCAGTATTTTATATGCATCATGTTTTTCAGATACATCCAGATGCCCCGGCCGTTCTGTTTCGAGCCCAGTAATCGCTACGTGGTTTCCATCCGGTTCCAGCGCCACGGGGTCACACACAGACACCTCACTGCCTTCATTCTCATAGACTCGGTAAGCAACCCCCTTTATTCACTATCATTTCATGTCAATAAAAAGCACATTTCAAGAAAAACCTTGACAAATCTCTGGCTTGTGCAGTTGTTTTGTGTTTCCTGCTATCCTCCCCCCCCCCCCCCCCCGCCGCCGCTCATAATCCCAGTCTCTGTACATGTACCTCCAATTCTATATTTACAGTATAATCCTTTCCTTTTTCTAACCTTCATCTTTTTGGTTCCTCTAATAGCTGGTTCTAATCCCCAAATACAATGAGCTGCCTGGTTTCCAAGGGAACGAGGTGGAGGCGGAGCAGCGGCGGGAGGAGATGATCCGCTACATGTGTCTGGATTCCTTCATGATCACACCAATGCCCGCCCTGGCCGAGATGTGCTCCAAACTCATCTGCAGCATATCCTCCATCATTCATGATGGGGCTCTGTGTAAGTACACAAAAACACACAAAACATGCAGATATTTAAAAGATGTGGGGTCAAATGCGTTGGCAATTCCTGGATCGATTTCTTTTTATTTCTTTTATTGGTGGTAGTGATGAAATTGTTATGTATTATTTACATGGGTCACATTTAGGCTCCCAATACAGACATCTGTCCACAGTTGTTATCCACTTAAATCTACATCATATTAGCCTCTATAATCTTTCATTAAGATGTAAACCGCTTCTTCCATTTCTGTATAAAAAGATGACATATTGTCCTATTTATCCGAATTGCATCACCTTGGATGAGAGTTTTTTTCCATGGAAGTAGAAGGAGAGTCATCCCCGACTTACTTCACCATTTCATTGTGAGCATTATAAGTGATTGAACCACTTCTCTTGTTAATTAAGAGACTCTGGGACATTTCCCTGCAGGCATATAATAAGAGGGAATTTGCTGACACCTGTTGGTGCATAGCTGAATTGATGATTGAGTAAATTGCCCTCCACAATAATTCTGTTGCAAGTATTTTAACATTTGGGGCACAAATAGAATTCCTGCTTTATTTGTTTTAATTTTATTTCAAATGTATAAACTTACTTTAGTCCATACGTGTACATTGTTTGAAAATACAAACTAATCAAACTCATGTTTAAATTAATAAAAAAAGACAAAGAAACTTGCCTTATCGTATGCAATTTAAAAAAGGAAAGTAATTATTAAACGAATACATTGAAAGTAATACAGAATTCACAAAAATAAACAACGGGGGATAATTCTAAAAACGAAAACACTAACATATTTAAAGGGAGATTAAACATCATTGCAAGACATTGATAATTCCTGCTTTTTACTGACTACAAACATGCAGTGATAAATACTTGGATGCATTATAAATGACATGTACTGATCTCTGTATCTTCTGTGTGCAGCGTGTCAGTGTGACCCTCAGGGCTCCCTCAGTGGGGAGTGCGACAGGGTGGGGGGTCAGTGTCGCTGTAAACCCAACGTGATGGGTCGCCGCTGTGACCAGTGTTCTCCAGGAACATACGGCTTTGGAGTGAGCGGCTGCACTGGTGAGTCAGATCTATCATCAGCAACGTCTGTCACATGCTTCACACAACCACACCAGACCATCATCAAATCACAGCAAAGTAGGAAAAGAGAAGATCCAGACAGACGCCACAACACACTTCTAGTGGGTTGTACGTTTTTAGATTTAGAGGGATCATTTTTGTAATAGTCAAAACATTTATATACAGTTTTTTTATTCAAGTTTATACTTAAATAAAAAAAGTATTGCTTCTCACTTCTGCGCTTTCAGCAAATGTCATTTACATTTTTCGAATTGTAAAAAAAAAAAAAAGGGTTGGGGTTATACATGAACCCCACAAAGACAACTTTTTGCAACCGACAGTTTTTCCTAACTTTTGAACACAAATAAAAAGAAGAGCCACTAGATGGCAGAACGCTACTTCACAATACAGGCTTGCTCAATATATGTTTCCTCACTAGCAAAAAGGTGTTTGTCATTTACACTCAATCATGGAGTAGTAAACAGAGGATGTTATGGTTTTGTTGTTTCTACATCCTCTCCAGTTAGAGTTTGGGTCATCCAATCATATTTGTATTGTATTGTCTTTTTATACATATTTGATCACATATTTGTATGAACCATTGAACTTAACTGTAGATCTGTGGTTTTGGTTTTAATGATATAGACACACAATATATATATATATATATACATATAAATATATATGTTTAGTTCTGTGTGCTAACCTATGCATTTTTTCTAGTCACTTAGCGCTCTGAAAAACAGTGACTAACCCTTTGAACCTGCCGTCCCGCCCAGCCTGTGACTGCCACTCAGAGGGGTCTCTGAGCCACCAATGTGACCCGGCCACAGGACAGTGCCAGTGCAGGCAGGGAGCCACGGGGCGTCAGTGCTCAGACTGCCAGCCGGGCCAGTGGGGCTTCCCCAGCTGCAGCCCCTGTCAGTGCAACGGCCACGCTGACCTCTGTGACCCCCGCACGGGAGAGTGTCGGGACTGCAGGGACTACACAACAGGACACCTGTGTGAGCGGTAAGAGTCCCTCTGAGTCAGACTGTCCCCCCTCCCCCTGAATATTAGACTGATGATGAATGTCTCCCTCGTCTGTCCCAGTTGTGTGGATGGGTTCTTTGGAAACCCGGTGCTGGGTTCAGGGGAGCACTGTCGGCCCTGCCCCTGCCCCGGGAACCCCGGCTCGGGTCACTTCAACGGGCACTCCTGTGAAGCTGACCAAACCTCCAACCAGATCATCTGCACCTGCAGACAGGGCTACGCTGGTAAGCTAGCACACTGAACACACACATGTTCTTATTTTTGTTAATCACTTTTTGCTCTACTATAGTTCAGCTATATTTCATGTAATAGTTTACTTTTTCCTGCATTTCACTTGCACTATTTGATCATTTGTTATTAAGCATATTTTTTTGATGCATAGTTGGAGCGGCCTAGGACTTTATATTTTCATTGCCAAATCTACGATGGAGCTATTATGCATATGCAATGAAACCTTTGAATCTTTGAATCGCCCGTGGTCTGATTACAGTTATATATTGTAGGTGATCCAATCCAATCCAATCCATTTTATTTATATAGCACATTTAAAAACAACAGAGTTGAACAAAGTGCTGTACATCAACAACTGTATAAAAACATAGCATAAATACATAAAAACAGACAGGACATGAAACAAATGTAACACGAGACAATGAAACCAGACCAGAAGCCACCGACTGAAAAACTCTCCTATATGATGTAAAAACAATACAAAACACTAGTAAGGTAAAAAAAAAACACACATTTACGTAACAGCACAAGTGTCACCTGGTCTGTACAGTAAAAGCCAGGGAAAATAAGTGGGTTTTTAAACGAGATTTAAAAACAGGCAGAGTTGGAGCAAGTCTAACCTGGAGGGGTAATTCGTTCCATAACTTTGGAGCTGCAACAGCAAAGGCTCTGTCTCCCCGCTGCTTTAGCCTCAATTTTGGGACTTCCAGAAGGAGTCTGTCAGCAGACCTCAGTGACCGTGTGGGTGTGTATGGTTTTAAAAGATCTGCCAGGTACGGTCGATCCTGCAATCAAATATGAAATACTTACCCTCTACTTACCTCTCACATCAGAAGTCTTGAAGCTAATTGTCATGCTATATTCTTCCTTTTATCGCTCCCCTTAGGGTCCCGCTGTGACCAGTGTGCCCCTGGTTTCTATGGCAACCCAGAGCAACCTGGCGGGCAGTGCCTCCCGTGCGAGTGCAACGCTAACATCGACACCCAGGACCCCGGGTCATGTGACCCCCGGACCGGCCAGTGCATCAAGTGCCTGTACCACACTGACGGCTCCTCCTGTGACCACTGTCAGAACGGTTACTTTGGCAACGCTCTGGCACACGACTGCAGACGTGAGTTAGGATAGCAGATGTCACATTTAATTCCTTTAAGTTGCCTAGAGTTAGGGGTGTATGAGTTGCATATTTTTCTTTTACTATGACTCATTCCAGATTCAATACCAAACCCCCTAGTATTGAAATGGCAGTGTGCGAAGTTTTAAGAGAAAATGATGTTTCATTATTTGTACATACAGTATATCTTTACAAACAAACTGTCTCCTCTCTGTCTGGGCATTACATATTGGTTTTTATCCTCAGGCTGTACTTGTGTGACTGCTGGCACGCTGCAGTCTGCGTGCCCTGACGGAGAGTGTCACTGTGACCGGCAGAGCGGGGCCTGCTCCTGCAGGGAGAACGTGGCGGGCCATAACTGTGACCAGTGCGCCGCCAACCACTGGAACTACGGTCAGGACCGAGGCTGTGAGCCCTGCGGCTGCGACCCCCAACACTCTCTGGGAGCTCACTGCAACATGGTGAGCAAGCAGAGGGTCTGAAAGCCTGGGAATGGATAATGCAAACTGGGATGAATAAATAATTGTCTGCTTCTCTCTGTCTTCAACAGTTCACAGGGCAGTGCCACTGTCGTCCAGGCTTCGGAGGGAAACAGTGCACTGAGTGTGAGCAGTTCCACTGGGGAGACCCGCAGGTGCAGTGTCAAGGTATCTCACCATGTGACAGATACTGCTGGATGAATACCACATGTGCACAGAAATGTTTTTTTATTTAGAGTAGAAAACATTTAGTGAAGCTGTAAAACAATCAGTGTGTCAGTGTTTGTGTCAGTGTGTCAGTGTTTGGTCGAAACCAAAACTTCCCTTCCTGTACCTTTCCAATAAATAAATAATATGTAACTTTCCTCATTAGAATATCTTAAAATTACTAGACATACGTTATATATTTTGTTGAGTTGTGTTTTGATATATAATCACAAATCTATAAATCTCTTTTGAAAATCCTGAAATCTATGATTTTAATCAGCTAACAGTTGTATCGCTTTTGCGCAAGTCTATATGTTTACCAGGTGATGGATTTTGTCATCATAGGCCAGCGTCTTAACTAATCAGAGAAACATGCTGAGGGAACATTAGTGGCAGGTTTGCCAAACATCAGAGAAACACACATTTTAAATATGAAACGACTTTATTCTGTGTTTTTACGCATTCCAATCACCGGGTCCGTTTGTTTTTGAGCGGAGGAGACTTTTGAGCATCATTTTTAAAGCATGCTGATGGATGAACACTGAAGGCAACCTAACCACTAACCCCCATGATTCCACGCTACATCACAACAAGGGCGAAGTAGCTTCAGTCTTTTTTTAGAGGTCATACAAATACAAATAAATTGTCTTTGTCCTCCCTCCTGTCCTTCAGACTGTAACTGCCACCCTCTGGGCTCGGAGATGGCTCAGTGCGACAGGTTGACGGGGAAGTGTGAGTGCAGGGAGGGAGCGGCAGGGAAGCACTGCGATGAATGCGCCCGTGGCTTCACCGGCGTCTTCCCCGAGTGCGTCCGCTGTCACGCCTGCTTCCAGCTGTGGGACGACGCCATTTGCCAGATCAAAAGAGACCTGGAGCACATCCAGTACACTGCGCAAAAGATCCTCGAAAGCGGAATCACTCCAGGAGTCGGGGACACGCGAATCAAAGAGCTGGAGAAGAAGCTGAAGCAAGTAAAAGATCTGATCAGTTCTGAGGACAGCGACAAGATCCACCAGCTGATTGGACAGAGCATCGATGACCTCAGGTGATGATGTCACACAGTGCTGGGATGTTTATTTGGCATGATTTGTCACCTGCCAGTAACTGTCTGGATGTTATATTGAAATATCCTACTGTGTGTGTTCCAGGGCTGAGATCGCCCTGACCGACGGGCGCCTGATGGGCGTCACCAGAGAGCTGAATATAACAACAGAAGATGAAGGGGCGCTGAGACAGACCCTGACTGGCCTGGAGAGAGAGCTGAGGGACATCAACACCACCGTGGCTCACAAACACAGCCTGCTGCAGGACTACCTCACCTCAGGATTTTCAGGTAGCAAACTCAATCAAGTCAGTGAGGCTATGCTGACATTGTGTGACAATCTTATAAGTCAATCGTATATGACACTTGCCATTATGGGTGAACATCTGGGAGAGGAGGTTGGAAAAACTTCTTTGTCGATTCAATTCAGAAAAGTATGAAGAAAATAGAACTCAAAGAATAATTTGATGAAGTCTCCCACTTCAGGCATAATATCAAGCAAGTGACGTTGATCAAACCTTCCAACGTGGTTCTTCACAAAACATTTTTAATGTTGTAACTTCATTTTACAGAATTAGTTTGAGGTGGATGACTTTGTCTTCACGCAGAATATTTGAAGTTTATTTTTGTAAATTTGTGACTTAAATCTTTGAGAATTTTATATTTTTGTTCTTGTTATTTAATGAATGTATAATTTGAGAGAATATCATTCTCTATAATTCATTAATTCATTAAATCATTTATAGATACATGTATTTTCTTTTTACATAGAATGGCCCTAATGTGCTGCCATAGTGTAAACAAGAGCATAAGCAAACATATAAAAACATGTGTGATACACAAAAATCATGACTACAAACAGATATGTTCAGATTTTCTGTGGTGAGCAATTGCAAAATGTAGATAGATCGATAGATAGATGGAAATAAACTTGATTTGTCCCAAGTTGGGAAATCGTTTTGTCACATCGTAATTCATGTACAATCACTGTCAACAAAGCTGAAATGTTAAAATAATGTGAGAGAAATTCTGATGAAAACATAAACCCTTTGCCTGTCTTCACAGATCAGTTTGATAAAGTGAAGAGGTTTTATAATGAGTCGGTGAAGGCGCAGGAGAAATGCAACGCCTCGGTGTCCGGTCCCCTCAGTCCTGTGGAACAGTCCAAAGAGACCCGGGCTGTCACAGAGGATCTGCTGAACGCCAGCAAAGACAAGTTCCTGCGGGCTCTGGCTGCTCAGAACAAGTCTCTCAACGAGCTGCAGGACAAAGCCCACGACCTGGACAAGAGCGTCCAGCACCTCAGCAACAAGGTGGGCGGGGTCAGGGGCGTCATCACTTCCTTCCTTACTTACTTCCTCCCTTCATCTTGAAGTGGATAATCTGAGATACAAAAAAGGTTGTTTTGTAAAGTATTTCTCAATTGTGCAGAATCAAGTAAAAGCATTCGAGTTCATTTCATTTTCCATTTATGTTTTGGAAGAAGGTCTTAGGAATAGAGGAAATATTGAGAGAGATAATGCAGGATGTTTTAGTTTTGTCTTATAATAACTTATTCAGAACATATTTGTTCTTTCATCAATGGTGAACTAGATAGTAAAGGTTCGTATTTGTATTACATTAGTAGTACTCTATGATGAAGAAACGCTGAAATTCACGAGACAGAAATAAATACTTGTTTTTGTTTTCCTGTCTATTAGGTCACCCACTTTGTAATAAAGGGGAAAGACAACCAAAACACTGTCAATACATGTTGTTTTCCAAGTGTTATTAAATGATTAAATAATGATGACAATTGATACATTTAATGTAGTTCTCACCAATAATATGATTTTTGTAACATTAATACTTTTGTATGCATGCTTCTACGTAACATTAAGCTGTCTTTGGCTCTTGTTCTGCTGTAACAACGTACATGTCCCCTCTGTGGGACTAATAAAGGTATTCTGATTCTGATTGATATAACATTTCTTGAAATAGTTTAAATAAAACGTATCCGTTATATACTGCATGTTATTCTTACATTCCTATGGAATAGTTTGAACTGAATTCATAGACCTATAGACTAATTTGCAATGAATGAATGACATTTTTTTTACTTTGAATGTTTTATCATTTCTGATTATTAATTGTAGGTCATTTTATCGGAAGACACACATTCTTTATTCTTTTTTAAAAATGTTTATTAACTTTCTTTTTTCTTTCACTGACTAAAGCATTTCATGTAAGGATAATGCATTGCTGCTCCTTCCAGGTGTGTGGCGGTTACAGCAATTCAAGCGCAAATGGCAGTTGCTCAGACAGTCAATGTGGTGCCGGTTGCCATGACAATCGGGGTGTGCGTGGATGTGGAGGAGAGGGATGCAACGGGACGGTTAGCGCTTCTGTCGCAGCTCTGAATCTCACCAGGAAAACCACGGATAGTCTGAACACCGCCAACGAGGAGCTGCAGAGCGTCGCCAGAAAGGTAGATCCATATAGTGTGGGAAGGAGAGTGCATCCTCTTAAAAATATAAAGTATAAAATGTCTTTGTCTTTGTTTCCTGTGTCCAGCTCCAGGATATCGCCACCCTGACAAAGGATGTAAAGAACCAGGCGATGAACACGCTGGAAAAAGCGCAGAAGAAGAAGGAGCACTTTGAAAACAACAACAACAAGCTGAAAGATTTCATCAAGAAGATCAGAGACTTCCTCACCGGTATATCATAGTGTTTTTACTGCTGTTATTAGCTCTATACACAATAGTTTGATACTGCTTCCATAATGTTGACATATATCATTTAAATCAACATTCAAACGGCTGGCTGCGGCCCTGGGTTATCAATGGGGGGGTTAGTGATTTCATCTCTACTCCTTAATATCCTTCAGTTAGTAACTTAACCCAAATTGCTCCCGTAGGCATGTGTACTGTTAAGAATTGCATTTAAGTCACTTTGGATAAAAGCTTCAGCTAAATCACATGTAAGGTCAAATACTGTGCAGCTTTTAAAAAAAGACTATTATTCTTCATTGTGCGTCTAGCCGGTGTTTCTGCAAAGTTGCACATAAATGTGTCTCTTTAAACTTGCTTTCCAAAAGTCAAAGTTGTATTCATTTCCAAAATTCATATCAAAGCAAATAATCGGCTTCAATCGGTATTTGTTGTCATTTTGTCTTTTAAAAACAACTTTTTAACAGCACTCAAAAAGCGGTTTACTGTTCAACTTGTCGCACACAAAAGGAAGGCTTGCACCTGTGTTTAACTTCTGATGATGACATCACAAAATGTAAATACAGACATTTGGAGCTTCAATGGAAAACTTGAAAGAATCTTTCATGTAAACATATGACCTCTGTACAGTTGGAAAAGATTATCTGTGTTCAGAAGTCTAGTTTAGTTCAACTACAGCTGGAATTCTCCTGCGGTAGGATCTTATTTCTAGTATTTATTTGTTTTTGTTTTTCTCTCTTCCCCTTGTTGTTGTGTACAGAGGAGGGTGCGGACCCGGAGAGCATAGAGAAGGTGGCTCTGCAGGTGCTGTCCATCACGCTGCCCGTCAACAGGACAGCTCTGGACAGGATGGTCCAGCAGATCAAGGGCGGCCTCTCCAACCTCACCAACATCGAGGGCATCGTCAACCAAACCTCGCAGCACATCAAGGAAGCCAAGGAGCTGCTCCAGAAAGCTAAGGATGCTAAGTAAGTAAAGCTGTTGTGTTTTGTTTTTTTCAAAACAACATTTCCCATAATCAAGTTTGCTTGCTGTCAGAAGGAGCAGGGTTCATTCTCTGGCTGCCCACACAAATATAGAAAGCAACTGCTTAATAATAATGAAGCCATTTGCAATTAGAGGCTTCTATGGACCAGGGTTCAGCTATGAGTCTACAATGGGCGGCAGTAGCTCAGTCTGTAGGGACTTGGTTTGAGAACAAAATGGTTGCCGGTTCAGGTCCCAATTGGACCAACAACAACAAAAAACAGATGGTAGACTGGTAGCTTGAAAGGTGTCCTTGAGCAAGACACTGAACCACCAACTGTTCCCTGGCGCCAGATACAACCGACAGCCTCTTCTTCAATCTGTATTCCTATGCATGTCTGTTTTGTTACTGTGTGTATTAAACAAATTCTTCATTTTGCCCTTGTGGATGAATAAAGGGTCATCTTAAGAACAAAATCACTCAGTAAATCCTCAAACCTCTCTCCTATTTCCTTTTGAAGACACTATAAGGCACAGGAGAGTGGGGTACATATTGGTCGTGAGGTGGAGGAGTGATTGGGCATCGGAAAATATATTTTTGACCAGGGAAAGAGAGGACGTAAAGCCATTGTTCTTTGTATGCTTGATTTACGAAACCTCAGAAAAAACAAACTGGTTTCAAACATCATTCAGAATGATTACAAAAATGAAAGCAGATACTGAACAAAACAGGACCAGTTGCTTTGATGGAACAGATTACAAGAACTCAAAACGACTTCATCAGCGTTATACCTGTAGGACACAACATCTCCATACAACCTTATACCATTATATAATGCATTAAGACCAAACTCCTAAACCATATGGTCCAGAACCTTTCAAAAACTTAAACCCTGAAAAATGTAAATGATAATCTTACATACCACATTCAGGAGCTGCAGGTGTCTCCATAAGAATCAGCAAATATGTTCAACAATATGTTATTGTTAAATCATCTCTCATAGTGTGCCCACCACTGAATTAACAATTGTGTAGAGCAAATCATCTTTTTTGAAATAAAAGTTCTTTAATTTATTCCAATATCGTGTTCTAAAAAAACATAACAAGATGCCATCTTAATCTCAGAAGTTCTCACGGTTTGTGTTGTTTACTTGTTTGGTTTCATTCAGTCTTTTTGTGTTTGCAGTGGCTTTGTGTAGAAATGCTCGATAGGTATTTTAATTTACGTAAAATAATATGTAATTCCACAATTACGACACATTACTGAGGAGTGCAACCTTTTGTGTCTGACTAACTCCTGGTGTCACTGTGCAGGAGCCTGGCGGAGGGAGTGAAGGATAAAGCCAACAACACCAAACAGGCTCTGGATGTGTCTGAGAAGGCCATAGAGAAGGCCCGAGCCGCCATGAAGGAGGCCAGCAGCAACCTGAACCGCACCAGGAAAGCTACAGCTGAGGTACAGGAGCCTCACAAGGCCTGTGGAGCTCTTCATCCTCCCACATCTCTCCATCTCCCCCTTCATTCTTTGTCTTGTCATCCCTCTGCAGGTGGATGAGAGGCTGACGCGGCTGGAGGATAAGCAGATGGATGTGATGATGCGCCTCAACAACCTCTCCATGGAGGTGGAGGCTCTGAGGAACAAGACGGAGCAGAACAGGCTGGTGGCAAAGAGAGCTAAAGAGCTGGCTAACAACGCCACGCATCAAGCCTCCTCCCTGGAGAGGGTCAGTTGTTATTGTGCTTTTCTTTTGAAAGAATGTCTTATTTATCCCCAAAAATGTATGTAACGGAGTAAGTTTTGTGGGTTACTTTAGGAGTTCTTTATGAGAAATAAATTGTTATTATTTGGGGGGAAAAATAACTTGAGATTGATCATTTTGCGTCATTATTCTCATCATCATTGAAATATATTTAAAATGATCATGGCGGAATTTCTTTTAAGGAATCTGAACCAAACAAAGATATTTTCTTAAGTCTAAATATCTATGCAGCACCAACATCTCTTATTGAATATTTACACAGTTTGAATATTGCACAAGCCCATATTGTTATTTTGGTTGAATTCTGATGAATTATGCAGCCCTGATATCATTACTACCGCTGTGTGGTGTCTGCAGAGCCTGAACGACACAGAGAAGCGGTACCAGGAGCTGCAGATGAAGGTGGACTCTCTTGGAGATGTTGGAGGTCTGAACAACGTCAACCAGAAGGCCAAGGAAATAAAGAAGGAGGCAGAAGACCTGCTAAACAAAGCCACCAAGGGGATAGAGCAACTCAGGAGTGAGTACAGGAAGCTAAACATGCCCGCACAGGCCATTGTTTACAGTGATTTGTCCTCTGAGGAATTCCCTCGCATTAAGGTGGTGTAATGAAATATCTACTCTTAATGATTTGTTGAGAGTATACAGTTATATGTTGCAGGTTTTGATGAGTTTATAGATTAAATAATGTCTGGAGGCAAGTGAAATAAATCATTTTATTTGAATAAAAAGGGTAAATTCCCTCAGTCTAACCTAGGATACCAAAATTAAAAAAAAATAATAAAAAGATCTTCATTTGTTTAGAACTTTCCGATAACAGAGGTACGTAGTGCTTATAATACATGAGAGCAAAGCAATAAAAGACATAGAGAATAGAGTGCCACATCGAATCATCTTCTTCTTATCGTGTCCACAAGGCAGTCAGTTACAGGGCTTGGTTAGATGTGGTTCAGCCACAGCTGAACACATTGCTGTCCCTTCTCATTAAACTCTGCCAAGTCCGATGTTGTGCAGGGTTGCTCCAGCAGGGGGCATATCAGGAGATGTTGCATGGTTTGTGGTTCAATGCCGCAGTCACAAACAACGTCCCCGTCATTTAGGTATCCCCATTTGGCGAGAGTGGCTTTTGCACGTCCAACACCAGATCTTATTCTGTTTAGGCATTTCCACACTGCGTAGTGTCTGCTCCAGGGGGCAGTGCCTCGCTCGCCTTTAGCTCCATTGTTGTTGCTGATGGGAGGTTGTCAAGTCTTTCTTCCCACCGAGTGACTCTTTCACTGCTTATGCTCGGTGTTCCGAGGGGTGGGACGCTCTTCAGGAAACTTTTCCTGGATTTAAGGCGGCTTTTGGCTGGCACATGGCCAAAGAGAGGATGTCTTTGGTCAGTAGACTGTTGTTGGCGCTCTTTCTTGCTTGCTGCATTTCGTCGTATCTCTGGTGGGGCTATGCCTGCCAGGATGTACAGACGGTCTGTAGGTGTTGATTTCAGGCAGCCTGTGATAATGCGGCAGCTAGCATTGAGGGCGGGATCCAGCTTCTTGGCATGGGCAGCTCGTTCCCATACTGGGCAGGCATACTCAGCAGCTGAGTAGCAGAGGGCTAGTGCGGTTGACTTCAGAGTCTGTGGGTTTGCACCCCAGGTCGTGCTGGTGAGCTTGCGGATGATGTTATTCCTCGCACTCACTTTGCACTTGGTCTTCTCAGTGTGGGTCTTAAAAGAGAGGCATCTGTCCAGGGTTATCCCTAGGTAGACTGGGTGCTCACAGTGTTCAAGGGAGGTTCCTGACCAGCTGACCTTCAGTTGGCGCTTGGCTTCACGGTTTCTCAGGTGGAAGGCGCACACCTGTGTCTTAGATGGGTTTGCACGTAGGTGGTTCTCTTCATAGTAAGGTGTTAGCTCTGCCAGAGCGTTAGAGAGTCTGTCTTCCACAGTTTTGAAATCAGTGGCTTGTGCACCTATGCCAAGATCGTCTGCATAGATGAAGCGGCGGGTGTCTACACTTTTTGGTTGGTCGTTGGTGTAGATGTTAAAGAGAAGTGGTGCAAGCACACTTCCCTGTGGGAGGCCATTCCTGAGTCTTCGCCACCTGCTTTTCTTTCCTCCTAGCTCAACGAAGAAGTGCCTATTTTCAAGCATGCTTTCAATCAGCTCTGTCAGGCGGGTGTCTCTTGTGGTCTCCAGGATCTTACTGAGGAGACGTCTATGGTTGACTGTGTCATAGGCAGCTGAGAGGTCGACAAACACCGCACCAGTTACCATCCCTTCCTCATATCCGTCTTCGATGTACTGGGTGAGGTTGAGTACTTGGCTAGTTGTCGACTTGCCAGGGCGGAAACCTGCTTGTTCAGGGATGAGGTGTTCGTCAACAAAGGCACCAATTCTGTTGAGGATCAGACGTTCAAAGAGTTTGTAGGTGTGGCTCAAATCATCGAATCATAAATCTATCGATTCGATTTATGATTAGAAAATTATAAAAGTAGGGTAGACATGTGGAGATTATCCGACGGAACAAAACGTGATCCGTCTCTTAAATGTGTGTCAGCCCCAGACCTTATTTCCAGCTATTTTCCAAAACCCTATGGAGAAATTGCATTGGTTTTTGTCGAAGGAACCGGATTCTTTTTGGTTATTGTCTTCGACAGAGACTGTTTCGGCTTAATTGATATTGTTATAGGGAAGCAGCACAGACCTGCATGGAAGCTGTAATGAACCGTTGATGGTTTTCCACCTGTCTGTCTCTGCAGAACTGGAGAAAAAGTTCAAGAGTAACGAGCAGCGGATGCAGAGGCAGCGCACGGAGCTGGACGAGCTGAAAGAAAACGCCACGGTGGTGCGAGACGAGATCCGGGTCCAGGTGCAGAAGTACAGTAACTGTGTGTGAGGATGTTACACTCACCGACCTGATGCTGTAGCGCAGAGCAGACTTCTGACTGATGCTGTGACTTGGACACACAACCATGAAAATAAAACGCTGCTCTGGTACCTCCATTCCTTTACTACTATATCAAGTTTTACACATTACCTGTCAAGTGTTATATATCACAGAATGCCTTCACCTGTCTACGTACTGTACCACTAACTGACTAAATATCAACCCTGTAATGTATGCTATGTCTTTAAGCTATTATCACAACAGGTGGATGACCTCTGGAGAGTATGATAATTGATTCCATGAGTAATAAACAGAAGAAATATATAAAAAATGTTGTTATTTTGACCAAAAGTGCTTTCTATGTTTTTGCTGTAATTTGACCTCATTTGTATGGTATTTACAATATGACATTCCTATAAAGAAATATGCGGAAAAGTACGATTTTTAAAAAATGAAATATGTTTATTTTTATTACAAAGGAAACTCTTGATTAAATGCAAACATACATGTTCTTATGAGCAAAATTCATTATGAGGTATGATGATGGAGACAAATAAATCTGATACCGTTTATGCAAATGCATTTTATCATGTGTCCTGTTTGTGTCAGAACGCAATCACTCCAATAACAAGTTTAACACATTTGTAATGTAATTGTATTTCATTGCCACTAGAGGGTGCTATATACTCAGCGAGGCAGTGAGTTCTCCCTGTCTCTTTCCCTAATTTCAGACTGTTTTATTATGATCTATTATGCGTTGTGGGGTTCCCTTTCCTGTAGTGTGGTATATAGGTTTGTGTGCATGTAAATTATCTCCAAAGGCTAAAATCCCCAAAGTTGACATTTGAAGTTGGCCAACTATCACTGTTGGCACAGTTGGCCTGTTTCATAATTGTGTTTTGTCAACGTAATTGAAATGATTATGTTAGCTAAATTAGCTACCTATCTTACAGCAGATCTGCAATAATATGGGAAGGAATCATGAAATCACATTGTTAAAAATAAGACAAAATAAATGACACTTTCGGTACATTTCCAGTGACAGTTGGCCAACTCCATAATCCCTGAACGTCAACAAGCACTCCAGTCCCAGATGTGTGCACCAAATGTTGGTGTCCCCGTGTCCGTTGGGTTTTGAGCTTTTGTTGGTGCAGCGCTTTTAGTAAACACTGCACATGTTTCAAGTTGGGCCGTTGTAGCACATTAGCCATAACCCATCACTGTACCATGTATGCAAGGGCAAGTTTGCTTTCACTAACTGTACGGAGGCTCAGTCACTGGTACATTTTTATATACAAAGCCATGTTAGGGAAACTTCCATCCTACATCTGCTCCCCGATCTCACGCCGAATTGTAAGTGGCTACTGCCTGAGATCGCATGCTGTAGTTTTATTAAATGTGCCAACTGCTAGGACTGTCTTAGGGAAGATAGCTTTTAGATGCGCAGCTCCGCTGTCTTGGAACAGTCTGCAAAAGGAATGGAAGCTGGGAAATTTGGTTCCACTAAATGTTTTTAAAGCAAGGATAGATGCTATCCAATCGGAAACTGTTGGAACCTGTAAATGTTACTAGCTATTCTTTCACACACACATACGGGTATTGGGCCGAGGGCGACACCGTACTTCCGGTATCCGCCGTTTTACGCGAGGTGCAAGCAGGCCGAGGGTTTAGCCGTACACCGTCTAGGTGTTGCTAAGCTTCCTGTACTGAATATCATAGTCTATTGCCTTAATCAATATCTAGTCAACTCTAAAATACCACATATATGCAATGGCATGATAATATTATTGTGACAAGTGGGGTATTCACCTGGTGTTTCCAGAAATTAGACGTAGATGCAGACAAAATCGACGCAGTCTGTAAAGGCAATCCGACAACCCACACAGCTCTAGTTTACGCTGGTAACGACCTAGAGCACACCCCTCAAGTCCAGAGATGTAATCCGAAGACATGCAGCGATTTCTTCGGTCGTTAATTCAGAAAAGGGACATACTCAAGTACCTGTTTTCTTTAGTGCACACATCCCTTATCATTAACTGTATGTAAATTGATGGTCTCACATGATTTCCATGATTCCTCAGGCGCTCTTTAACTTGAAAACATATTTGTGTGTGGGGATTACAAGTCATTCATCACATGTTGATTTTGAGCCCTTCAGTCAGAGCTTTTCCAGCTTTGTATACCTGTAGCTTCCATGTACTGCAAGACCCAGGAATGATTCACTGTCCTCAGTCTGGAGGAGCTCTCAGCTCTTCTCTCTGCTGATGCTGGCACTGCATCCTGGGCTCTAACAAAGAGAGGCTGTCCTCAAGCCACACAGGGAATGTGTAATCTGACAGAGATTTATTTGTTCTGGAGAACACAGCACCTGCACACATCACACGCACTGCAGAGCCAAAGAAATAACATGTGATAGTTTGCAGTGTAGTCCTAACATTAGTTCACTGGATCAGATAAAGCTACATGTGTTTCCCTGCAGGCCTGTGGTGGAGATGGTCCCAAACACCTGTTGGATGAGGCTGATGTTATGGAACTGGGCAGCCGGGGAGCTGTGATCTGAGCGCGGTCACGAGTGGCTCATTGGGTGCAATCAAAGGGAATCTAATCCGTCCAGCAGGGAGCGCGCATTCCTACTCAGACACAAACTGGCATGGTTTACCGGAAAACAAGAGCTGGGTTTATAAAGGATCAACTTTTATAAAATGATAAAACTTCATAGCCTGTTAACACCGATGGAATGTAACTAAATACATTTATATTAACTACTTTTTACATACTTGTACTTTACATGAGATTTTTTTCCCACATTTATATTATATTCCTTCTTCTTCTCCACGTTTGAAAGAAATATTGTGCATTTTTTACTCCACTACATGTGATGCTATTGCTATAGCCTACTAAGTTAAATACTGAGTTCAGGAATGTTGTATTGGCGTGTTTTTAGAACGTGGCATTTCTACTTGCAGAAGGCTTTGACTACCATGTATATATACAAATAAAAAGGAAATGTGAGAATTGTCCCTAAGTAAAACAAACTCCTTTTATCCGCGACCATCTTCCGGGCGGCTCGCGCTCTCTCTCGTACTGTTCTGCTCCGCTCCAAAACTCCACTCCGGGGTTTCCAGCGCAGAGTCGCAGGAGTTTAGGACTCCTCATCGCAACAACGGTGCTCAGCCTCGCATCCGTCCGGCAGCTCCGCAGCAAGTGGACCAACAGGGAGACTGTACTACACAACAGAGAAGCGAACTCCTTAAACAACACGGTGAGTGGCGACTTTGTCATTAACTCCCCAACTGTTTTAAGTTTAAAGACATGTTGGTCAGCTCAACTCATTCAGCTTTAACTAGTCACAGTTCGTTTTTTATATTAACCGGTTAAAACAGCACAGAGAAGGAACAAAAAACAACAACAATTCCAAATTACCTCCACTGGTAACATTTTGGGGACCTGTAGTCGGGGGGGGAAAGCAACATTTCTTTAACTCCAACTTTTTCTAAATGTTTAATGTAATAACTGTGTTACATGTCGCTGTGTATAACACTGTTCATCATACATGCCACAGGTTGCCGCAGCCTGGCGGGTTGATGCGCGCTCAGAGATGAAAGCGTCACTACTAATGCTCGCCTGCGGTAAGTGCACTGTACACATCGAGAAGCCTTTAAAGTCCCTTCATGTTTTCTGCTCCATAACAAATCCTCAGAAGTGATTCAGTGAAGGCTGAACACTGTCTCCAGGTCACTGGGCTCTCTTTGATTAGTCTCTGGAAAATATGGAGCTTATGTTCTTGTGTTAAGTCTTTGGATTTCACGTGAATCCATGTCAGTTGATCCGGACACCTGCTACAGCTTTGTATCTGCAAGGGAGAATGCTCTGATAGGAGGTATTATCTCAGCCAACTGCTAGAAATGTTCACTAACACAAGATAATATCACTTGGGTTCTTACTCAAAACTACATTTACATGAATATAACTCTCACAAGAAAAGGTACATTTCAAAGCCAAAATAACAGTTTCTAAATGCATAAATGCGAGTTGACCCATCGACATTTTCTCTTTTTTAGTCACAGACTTTATATTAGCTTGTCTTATTCATTATCGACATTTAGAAAAGTAAAGAATGGTGCAGAAAATGAGAAATAGCTCTACTAGAAACAGTAGCCTGATCTCTGTGGATGTCTGTGAGGCTGATGGGAGTATCGGCCCCTGCGCTGAGATAAGATAGCTGATGTTTCTTTTTTAGGACCCCCGGTGCCCTCCGGGTCTCTGGGGTCGGCCCTGTCTCTGCCTGTCGGCCTCTCTCTGTGGGTGGTGTCGCTCTGTTTATGGTCCTCCTAAAACAGCCCAGCTGAATCCGCAAATAGAGACACCCACTCCACACCTACCTCCAGCTCTGTTGCAGACCCCTCTGTGTGTGTGGCTGACAGAAATATAGGAAGGCTGGGAAATGGAACAGATCTAAACTAAAAACCACCACCAACACAGTGTCTGATGAAAGATTCTTTGAACTCTTTTCAGTGTCATTTCATGGCTTGCAATGTTCAGAAAAGTGGTCAAAATAGAGTCCTTAAATCTGGAGGGTTAGCAATTACGGTTCCCTTATTTTAAAGTCAAAGGTTTTTAACGTTTTATTTAGATCGGTGATGTAAAATCTGTGATTAACGCAAGCTTACTAACATTTTGTTGTAAAACATCAAATACATCAGTAAATACGACACTGGTGAATGTTTGAAGATTCTTTGGGTTACAAAAACAGCAGACAAATAACTAAATGAAATAGTAAAAGTCATCACCCTGAACATTAGCCGCCTTTAGCTTAGCGGTGTTGACACACAGCCACTCTGATTCTGAGCTCAACTGACTTAGTTTATAGTTTAATGTTAGCTTTTTACTTCTTGGGATTGCATTTACGCCTCAATCATAACATGTAGAGATCAATTATCCTGCTGAACAAGACATACAAGTATCATAAACATGTATTTGCCAAAGTTCTTATTTTGTGCAATAGTCCGAAATCAAATGCAAATGGTCCTATACTGTGTGCTTACTTCTGTTGCGGCCTACAAAAAAACGTCATCCACGCCTGCACTACTCCAAAGTGGATGTGTGCTCGAAACGATCAGATATCTAAAGATTTAGTTGACTAATGACCTTCAATAAAAGGCCTCCTCATGCATTGTTCCCTCCAGATGAAGACAATGGGCTCATTGCTCCTGTTAAAGTCTATTAGTGCCTGTTGTTAGCACCCACAGGCCTCAGACATGATCACTGATCACTCCTGCTTTAAGGTGGTGGGGTTAGCTTCCGGAACACACAGCAGCACACTTGTCTGCTTTTTCATCTGCTTTTTGTAACCTTTGTCTTTTGTAGATCAAGAGGAAACACATTGGAAAGTAACAATAAGAACATGAGTAAAAGGATTCTACACAAGATATCTGTCGTTCTGTCAAAAAGTACAGTTTTGGGGGAATTCTAGGAAGTTTGTTGATGCAGTTTAAAGAGTGTCCACTTAGGCTTTGTGATAGGGGAGGATGGATGGGGCCAACACAACCTGCACTAACAGTCAACGTTACATTACAGGCAGGCTTACTTAACTTGCTTACTTTAACCCAAAACATGACCTCTTTTCCTAAATCTATCCAGTTATGGCGCATAATCACAATCCCGTAGTTTTGGCATCTAAACCGAACATAACTCAAATGAAAACCTTTAAACTAAGAACCTTTGTATAGCGTTATAGTAATACGCAGTCTGCACCTTTTTGAAGCATTATAGTTGTAGATAAAACAGCTGATAACAGCCATTGAATGCAGCAGGTGTGTAAAGAAGTTGGAAGAAGCAGATTTCACCTAGTTAGGCGCGTTCACACCGTGGTACTTTTCCCACTTTAGTTCCGATATAGTTCCGAAATGTTGCGTTCACACCAAAAAGAGCCGGAACTAAAATGAGTTCATGAGAACCTTTTTACCCCCTTTTCCGTCCCTAGAGAGCAGGGACTTTCGTGGGAGAAAAAGGTTCCTATGTCTGATTGGCTGGGCGGATTACAAACCACGCCCCGTAAAACTCCCAAAAAGTTTTGTGAAGCCGCCATTTTATTATCCTCGCATTAGCATTATTAGCATTAGCCCAGCGCAGAAACGCAGAGAGACTAACTTATGGCAACACAAAATAAAACATGGGAGTGGTGGAGATGAGGAGGTGTCGGCGTTCTGGCGATTTACTCGGAAGGCTTCAGTAGAAGCTGCTGGGAGTCCCAGCAGCTTCTACTGAAGCCAGTCCCCAACTCCGGGTATTCCGGCCGGGGACTTTGGGCGGCAGTATACGCCGTGAAGTGGTTTGCGGCCTGCCAGTAAACCCAAAGCAGAAGAAGAAGAAGAAGTGACGTCAGCGGCTTCATTTGCCTAATCCTCCCCCAGGGACTTTTTCCAGTGTGAACGCGATCTGTACTTAGTTCATGAGAACTAAAGAGTTCTCATGAACTAAGTTCACATGAACCTTTGTGGGAAAAGTACTGCGGTGTGAATGCGCCTAATGTTTCAGATATTTTTCAGGGCATTTTACACATTGTTTTAAGTCAGACTTGAATTTTTTTTTTGAAAAGAAGAGTTGCCACTACTTTACTTAACCATTGAACTATTGAGTATTTTGTTTTTGGCCAATGCTTGTCTCTCTTGGTCATTGGATCTGGTTGTTGGGAAGTTATCTTGAGCATTAGTTTTGCAGTACACCATATAAGTAAAGAGACTAAGTCAAAGGGAAAAGTCGAGAAAAGGTTAAAGTGTCTGTAGAGGAAATAAGTGAAAAAGAAGTGCTGAGAGTATTAGAGGAGATTGAGAGAAGGAAACAGGAGACGAGGATGTGTTTCAGAGTGGAAAAGGTGAACAAGTGTGTCTGACATGGGGTGTCACACACTGTCATTGCAGAGACAGGGAGCTGTCAATTCAGATTCCTGACGCCTCCCAAGACCTGCTCCAAGGTCAAGGGGTCGTGTCCAAACCCCTAGGGCAGACACAGGGTTAATTGGTGTGTGTGTGTGTGTGTGTGTGTGTGTGTGTGTGTGTGTGTGTGTGTGTGTGTGTGTGTGTGTGTGTGTGTGTGTGTGTGTACAGATGTATGTGTGTGTGTGTGTGTGTACGAATGTATGTGTGTGTGTGTGTGTGTGTGTGTGTGTGTGTGTGTGTACGAATGTATGTGTGTGTGTGTTTGAGAGAGTGAAAGGGCTCAGGCTGCAGGACAAAGGAAGCAGCCGTCCTCTCTTCTCTTTTCTTTTCACTTTCTTTTTATTTTCTGCTCTTGGGGGTGGGGTGAAAAGTGGACATGTAGGAAGCTGGTCGTGTGTGTGTGTGTGTGTGTGGTGTGTGTGGTGTTGTGTGTGGTGTGTGTGTGTGTGTGTGTGTGTGTGTGTGTGTGGTGTGTGTGTGTGTGTGTGTGTGTGTGTGTGTGGTGTGTGGTGTGTGTGTGTGTGTGTGTGTGTGTGTGTGTGTGTGTGTGTGTGTGTGTGTGTGTGTGTGTGTGTGTGTGTGTGTGTGTGTGTGTGTGTGTGTGTGTGTGTGTGTGTGTGTGTGTGTGTGTGTGGTGTGTGTGTGTGTGTGTGTGTGTGTGAGTGGTGTGTGTGTGTGTGTGTTGTGTGTGTGTGTGTGTGTGTGTGTGTGTGTGTGTGTGTGTGTGTGTGTGTGTGTGTGTGTGTGTGAATTAGGGCTGCAACTAACGATTATAGTCAGTATCGATCCGTCTACCTGCTGATTTTGTTCTCATTAAATCAATTGGTCCACCCCAGCTTCTCAAAATCAAGGTGTTGTTTATGTATGTCTTGTTTTTTTCAGTCCAAAATGCTAATAGATTCAGTTCAAAATATCAGAAACAAATTAGAAAAGCAGGAACACTTTCATATACATAAGAGGATATTTGAGAATGTTCTGCCATATTGGCATAACAAATCTAAAAGTTGGTGATTTGTTTCTGCCATTACGCTTTAGTTTGTGGAGTATCAGTGCAGAAGTTTTCTTGAGCAAATTGATATGATGAAGTTCAACTGTGGGAGTGAGCTACTCATTATTAATTTCAGAAGAAAGGAAGGAAGGAAGGAGGGAAGGAAGGGATGGGAAGAGGATGGAAGGAATTGGAGAGGAAGCAAGAAAGGAAAACTTAGATGAAAGAGGATCTTGGTAAATCCTCTGTAATTCACCTTTCTTAGAGCAATGGGGGGTTTGTAGAACTATACTGACGTCCTCCTCAGATGTGTGTGTGTGGTGTGTGTGGTGTGTTGTGTGTGTGTGTGTGTGGGTGTGTGTGTGTTGTGTGTGTGTGTGTGTGTGTGTGTGTGTGTGTGTGTGTGTGTGTGTGTGTGTGTGTGTGTGTGCATGAGTGTGTGTGTACGTGCGTGAGTGTGTGTGTGTGTGCGTGAGTGGTGGGTGTGTGTGTGTGTGTGTGTGTGGTGTGTGTGTGTGTGTGTGTGTGTGTGTGTGTGTGTGTGTGTGTGTGTGTGTGTGTGTGTGTGTGTGTGTGTGTGTGTGTGTGTGTGTGTGTGTGTGTGGGCAGGTGAGGGCTGGCATTAGGCAGGGGAGTGAGAGAGTGTGTGTCCCGGAGCCTTTGTTAGCGACAGCCTCCGGAAATGGGCGGATGGCAGAACAAT